GTGCGCTGTGGCTGTGTCACTCTGCTTCCCGTCACCATGCTGAACCAAACCAAAGCATGGGGCCAAAGACCGCCACCCTATACCATCCTATGGACAGGACACAAACCTCTGCTAGACACTTGGGGGAGGAAGGGGGCAGAGCCACCTAACTGGAGCAGTGACTAGGAAGAGCAGGAGGGCCTGTGGGTATGGGAGGGGTTAGAGTGCAGGAGGAGGAATGGGTGCCAGGCTTGGGGTGATGGGGCCAGAAATGGGCTTTCAGGCAGGGGGATCTGGGCTGGGACAGGGAGTTGGGGTGCAAGAGGGAGTGAGGGCTCCAGCTGGAGGTGTGAGCTCTGGGGTGGGCCAGAGATAAGAGGTTTGGGAGAGGGCTCCTGAATGGGAGATGTTGCCGTGGATTCAGAGTGAAGGACAGAGCAGCGGTTACACATCATCAGTCAGAATGTGCTACACTGGACTATTAAGGAAAGGTATCAGATCCTAATGGAGGAGCAAAAAAGACCATACTCAGGAGTCAGTAACTGCTTCTGGTAAAATATGAGCGTTGCAAGGCGAAGGGGACCTTCTCTTGCTATTTCATCAGAACTGCCAGGTTCATACAGAACTGCTGTACGGGACGATTCTCTCCGGTCACAGTCACGGGTTGCCTTCTGGGTTCTCCCTGTCTGGGGCAGTGGTAGGAGAGTGGCAGGAGCCTCTCTCATGTGCCCTGCTAAGGGGTGACATGGGGACATGCAGGGTCATATGCCCCAATACCATGTAGGGAGGAGCAAAGGGCCAGCAGCTGGCAGACAGAAACATCTCATCCATAGTATGGTTCTTCCAACCACACCGGGCCCCATGCTTTAGGGGGCCCATGAGGCCCAGTGTGGCACAGGGGACTAATGGAGGTCCTGGCACTCCTCACCCCCTCAGAACAGCTCAGAGCTTCATCAGCATTTAAAGGGCCCAAAGATCCAACCACGACCACTGTTACGATAGCAGCGGCAGCAGCCAGGAGCTCTGGGCCCATTTGAATCACTAGGCCCTGGGGTAATTGTCCCCTTAACTCCCCCGTCGGCAGGCCTGGGAGTGGGTGTGGGGTAGCGACAAGAAGAGGTGGGGACCTCCCTCGGGCAATGTGTGGTGTGGGGAGGAGTCACAGGAGGGGAAGTCACATGGCCTGTACCCTCATTGTGTCCCTCCCCCAGCAGCAGGACTGGATATGTATTATGTATGCGAGGGGGAGAGTCAGAGGTGGGGAGGGGGGTTGGAGAAGGCTGGGTAACTGGGGAAATTGGTGGGGAGTAGGGTGCGTGAGAGCCAGGGGGAGCATGTGCAGTAAAGTGCCTGAGGATCTTTGGAGGTGGAGGGTGGAAGAGCATAGGTTAACTGTGAAATGGGGGAAAAGCGAGTGGCCATTTTTGTGCAAATTAAGCACAGGATATTTAAATCCCCACTTCGTTTACAAAGTCGACTGCCTAATCTGCATCCCTCTGCTGACAGAGGGATGCAGTCTAGACATACCTGTCAGCTGACGGTCAGGGCTCCCTATATCTGTCCCTTAAGACCGTCTGAAGTTCTTTTAAATTGTGCCTGGTTCTGTTACAGCAACTGAAGGAGTCAGGTTAAAGCTTAAACAGTTACAGGTTTATTAAAGAAGCTTATAAATCATATGGTTACAATGGCTATTGCTCTATTTCTTAACTACTAGCAAAATATAGATCTTAAAAATGGTTACAAAGAAGATAAAGATAGAAAAATAGAAATAATGGTACCAAGTAACAGCTTACTCTTTCTATGTGTACACTTAAGACAGAGGACCACATCCAGGTACAATTTTTACCCCCTTCTGTGCCTCTCGACTCCAGCATGTCAGGCTAGGGCTGGTCCCTCAATTCCTAGGAAAGACGAAAATACGAGGTGGGCGTCCCCATAGAACCTCGGGAGGTCAAACACCTAACCCGACCAGCAGGTAGAGGGTAGAATGACACTCAAAAGAGAGTGTGCTGCTGTACCACCTTTATACTCATGGGGTCACGTATTTCTCTTTCTTGTCTGTCATGCCAAATGGGGCTGGTCTGTCTTTTGTGAGACCAGTTCTTACAAGGGAGTTGTGAACTTATTTTACACTTGTAAGAGAGAAAACTAAATTGGTATTACTGGGGATTCTTTTCTCAGTGGGAAATTCCTCTCCCAGGGACTGTGTGTGTTCGAATCAACATAGGTGCCAGCCTGACACTTCTTGCAGCCTCAAGGCCAGCTTACTGATTTAATCGCTTTCTCTCTCCACATATCTGTATTTTTTTCAGCTTCTAAGGATCAGATGAGCCAGCATAGACTATGCTGATTTCATTGCTCCTTCTCTGTCCTGTATGCTTCAGAGAGGCAAATAAGATGGATGTGATGGGGGCGGGCTGTCTGGCTACAATACCGTAGGTGAGAAAGTGCTGGGCATGCTCCAACTTCTATATTATTATAAAGGAGAGCTGCTCAGCTCAGTCTGGGCTGGCCACCGAGGAGACAGAACGCTTGATGAAGATCCCAGGCCAGGAGCCACAACAGTTTCTGATTGCAACAACCAGAGATCCTGGGGACTAGTCTGGTAACCTGCTACCTACAGTCGATCTGCAAAAGTCAGAGTTCCAGTGATCCACCCATGCCAGGGAATCCAGAGATGCCAATGATATATGAACTCCAGCTCCAGGAGACTCTGGAGGAAGTCCCCCAGGGAGGCAGAATGAGTGGTATTTGCCAGTCAATAAGGTTTGCATGTTGCAGTCACCCACCATGGATTGGGACCTAGTGGAGTAGGGTGTGTTATAACAAATAAAAGCAAGCAGGATCTTATGAGGCGGATAAGGCAAAAAGCCACATTTATTGTAAAGATAATAATAAAAAAAAATAAAGAAAAGATAGAAGCAAACAACATTGTTTAACTACTTAACCCTTACACATATAAACATTTATTCATTCATTTATTCAGGTTCTGTGTATTTGTTATAGTTACCAGCCTGGAAGTTGCTTGTGACAGAATACTGGCCAGGTACTCTGTACACAAGTGATGGTAGTGGGGAGCGAAGTCCTGATCAGATGCGCACCTGAAGCTCCTGGTAGGCTGGCAGCAGAACCTTGGACTCTAATTCCATAGTTTTTTAGTCCAGTTCTTAGAGGAATTTCTTCCTATGCCAGTCTATGGAAATTGCTGCATCATGCTGATGTCTCCAGGGTGGCTGCCAGGTGCTCATCAGTGATCTCATCGGGTGGACCTCCAGTACTTGGTTTTCTCCACTTGACACCTTTTGGTTGCACTGGCACCTGACGCCTTCTTCAGCCCTTTGTTGCTGTATTCCTCAGGCTGGCACCTTTTAGAACCATTTATTCATCGTCCAAACACTCTCTTTCTTTTACATACATTCCCTAATTAATGTTTCACATACAGTATTTTGTATAATAATAAAAGTTGTAGTTACAAAAGTTTCTGGGTGGTATTGCTTAAAACATTCTCTGAGTGCTGAGTAAAGTTACAATGTTTTAAAGAGAACAGGTGTCAATTATGTAACAATGCCCTAGTCAATTACAGGGCTTGGCTCCCATAGCAGAGTTAGTGGCTTGACAATGCATTGTTACAATGTATCTTTGCAATGTCAATTTCAAGCAGCCCCTCCTTGCACAAGCTTGAGCATGCCTTGGGACACAGAGGGGGGGCTGTTTCTGGCTACATAGGATTATATTCTTAACAGTTCTAAGTTACATGACCTAATACATTATATTCTAAAAGGGCAATAATAATAATAAATCTAAACATTTAACAATCTTAACAAATAATAATAATAATAATAATAAGAATTAATAATAAATCTAAACACTAAGTTGTGGGGAACAAATTATGGGGAGTTACTTCCATTTGGGGGAATCATTTTCAATACATTAATATGTTATCCCTACTGGTGCTCCTGTGTTCTATTCCTGTTTGCCCCCCCTTTAGGTAGGACTCAACTATGGCCATTAGGCCACATGGCCCTGAATCCTAATGGCAGGCATATTGACTCTAGCCATTAGGGAGTACATCCCTGAACCCTCAGACAGAGTACAGTGGGCTGTACTGCTGTCAGCCTAAAATCAGTTTGGTAGGCTGCAACCATGGTAATATCACTACCCCCAATCCACCCCAAAAGAGAGATGGGATGTGCATACCCTGTGACATACCTGCACAGAAGACACATTTTGTGAAGTTGCATTGGTATTAATAATCTGTAATAATTAAATGGGCAATTTTTCACCTATTGCTTTATAAAAGTCTTAATATGAGAAGTCTCAGAGGGGTAGCCATGTTGGTCTGTAACTTTAAAAAGCAACAAGTAGTCCTGTAGCAACTCATTTTTTAATATGAGAAATGTATACGGTGGTTATTCCTGATTGCTGAACCTTATTCTTTAACATATGTGCACATCCAAAACTTGAGAACAGTCCCTGTAACATCCCCATATAACCATTTATCATTCTCATGTAACTTTGTATTCAGAGAAACTTTGTAATTCCTTTGATATCCTTCTTATAGAATCACTTGTATTAAGTCCATAGAAACTTTGTATCAAGCTATCTTTATGTTATAGGTCTTAGGAATAGTTAAGGTAAAGAAAAAAATGTTTTTGAGATCTCTCCCCTTTCCTTGATTGCCCTGTTGAAATGAATGAGGTGTGAATGGAGACTGAAAGGTGAGCACCCCCAGCAGTATTTGCAAGGGTGGAGAGGAGCTGGGAGCCAGATCCAAGACAATACGGCTACGTCTAGATTGCATCCCTTTTTCATAAAAGGGATGCAAATTAGACGTATCACAATTGCTAATGAAGTGGGGGTTTAAATCTCCCCCGCTTCATTAGCATAAAAATGGCTGCCGCTTTTTTTCGGCACGAAGCTTTGCCGGAAAAAAGCGCCAGTCTAAACGCGGATCTTTCAGAAAATAAAACCTTTTCCGAAAGATCCCTTACCCCTTATTTTATTTTAAGAGGGATAAGGGATCTTTGGGAAAAGGCTTTATTTTCCGAAAGATATATACCAAAGCTTATTTCATCACTGCAAAGCCATGATGGAAAACTGTTGAACAGCAAAGAAGCATACATTTCATCAGTAAAACAGAGACTGGAAGAGTCAAATATAATTATTCAACAATACTCTTACAAAACTATATCTTCTTCTTTTGGAATGTTTCACTATTTAATTTTCCAGAGGATCCTTTTTCCACAGCTGTATTTGGAGAGTTTGTGTCAATTGGACCAAAGAGCTGTAGAGTCGTTACGTATATCCAGTATGGATTAATTATAAATGTAAGTATACTTAGCCCCATGAAAAAGACAATAAAATATGGAAGTCCCAGATTTTCCACCACATCATTCCAGTTGGAAATACACACCCACCACATGTGATAAGTAAGAACCTCACGGCAGTGTAGAATATGAACACGCACCCATCGGTTTACCTTCCCAAAAAGGGTATTAGCGTTGCCAGTCTGGAAGAGACAAACACAAAGAAAGAGAAATGAGACTCCAGCTTCAAGATAAGGCCATCAGTTTTTCTATAACCAAGGTAGATATTTAGCTTTACTGGTGTGTTTAGTGTAAACTGCCATACAGACATTCAATCATTTTTCTTGTGTACTAAGAGATGCCACATATACGTAGCAACTGTTGTTAAGAAGAATTCTAAACCATGTTACAAGCTATGTGCATACTAGGGATGTTAAATTTCAATGGGATTTCCCTCAACTACTCGATTAGTCATTAAGGGGTAGGACGGGGCGCTCGCTATCCCAGCTGCACCACTGCCTTTTAAATGTGGTAAGAGCCACCCAGCAGGGACCCCGGGGCATGTCAGGGGAACAAGTAAGCCCCCATTCCTACCCCTCTGGTAGGAAATCCCAACTAAGGGGAATCTACACTCTTGGGGCCACACCCCAAACTTGAGAACTTAGTTAAGGAGTGGCTTGGAGTTCCTGGGCCAGAAATACAAGCAGGATAGGGAGGCAGCCCCCACCCTTTGCCTGCTTATTCCTGTGATTGTCCTAGACTGCAGGCTTTTGTCTAGACTGCAGGTACGTCTAGACTGCAGGCTTTTGTCGACAGAAGTTTTGTCGACAGATACTGTCGACAAAGCTTCTGTCGACAAAGAGCGTCTAGACTACATTCAGTTCTGTCGACAAAGCAAGCTGCTTTGTCGACAAAACCCTGTAGTTTAGACACAACCCTAGATGCAATAACACCTTCCGTCAACAGAAATCTGTTGACAAAAGGTGTTATGCCTCGTAAAATGAGGTTTACCAGCATCGACAAAACTGCTGAGTTCTGTCGATGTTATGTCGACAGAACTCAGCAGTAGTGTAGATGCAGGTATAGTTTTGTCGACAAAAGTCCACTTTTGTCGACAAAACTCTGTAGTCTAGACACACCCTAAGCTACACAGCTGCCAGGGACTCAGCCATAGTGCCCTAATTAAGGATTCTCATGGCCAGACACTTCAAGTTGCGGGTGGAGGGGAATTCTACCATGATCCCAGAAATAATTTCCCAATTTGGTGGTCATTTTTTGCAAGTTTTTTTTAAGGGAGAGACAATGTGAAGTTTATAGTGAAAACATCTTTTACCAATGCTTAATACAGAAAGTTCTTACCATTGTAAGCAATGTCTTGATGCAGGTTAATGGAGTGATCATCTCAAGCAGAAGTCCTATCAGGATTAGATAGTGTCCAGACTTTATGTTAATTATCAGACCAAGAAGTGCACCAGAAGCAAAAAAATGATGAACTAACAAGATCACACTACGTGCCCTGAAAACAATATCAGACACAAGAAGATATACATCGTCAAGTAACATGAAGCCAGAGGCTACTAAGCAATGAAGCCAGCTCCAATTTTGCTGTGAATACACTTTGTCAGCTTGGAAAACTGGATCTATAAGCAAGGCCCAGAACCCAGCTACCGAACACTGAACTCCGAACACACCACGTGCGATATCCATGTTCCAGTCGATCTTCTTTTTTGTTGACAAAGCAGGATAACTGGCACTGATCCATGATGACAGCCAGTGAGCTAGAAAAAATACTCCCAGGTAGATAAAAAACCCAGATGTCAATAACTTTAAACGAACACTCCAGAGAACATAGTCCCAGTCAAATGTGTCTCTGGAAGTTGCACTATCATTTGCAAGTTTCATTTCTTTTATAATTCAAAATATTTGGATGGAGTCTGATGTTCCTCACCTACACGTTGGTCTTTTTTAAGGCTGTTGAGCCTGGGCTGTTACACAGAGCAGAAACCCACCTGCAATTTAAGAGAAAGAGAGAGTGACTTGTAGAGAATGGCTGTGTCTGCGTTTCCATATGATCTCCCCATTTATAAAAGCTCACGAGTTTCACTACAAAAGAACGAGTGGTCCTGTGGCACCTTAGCCTGGGTCTACACTAGAAAGTTATTTCGAAATAACTCCCGATTTCGAAAAAGCAAGCAGAGCATCCACACTACCAATAGTTATTCCAAAATAACTCCTGCTTTCCATGAGGAATAACGCTAATTTTGAAACAGTTATTTTGAAATAGTGTTAGTGTGGACACGCCAGTGCTGCTCCCCAGAGTAATTCAAACAAATTATTTCCCAGTGCTTCCTGTGTCGCTAAGAATAGGCAGCACGTTCACATTAATGGAGCCTGCCTCAGACTAACTTCAAGGCTTCCCTGTAGTGTGAACACACTATTTCTAAATAGTTATTTTGGGAGTTATTATTTCATAATAAATTATTTTGAAATAATTTTCTAGTGTAGACAAGCCCTTAGGGTATGTTTACACTACCCCACTAGTTCGAACTAGCGGGGTAATGTAGGCATACCGCACTTGCAAATGAAGCCTGGGATTTGAATTTCCCGGGCTTCATCGGGCGCCGCCATTTTTAAATCCCTGGTAATTCGGACTCCGTGCCTGCGGCATGGAATTCTTCCATGAAGAGTACCGGTAGTTTGGAATAGGAAGC